CGCATCTGAATTGGCGCACAAAACTGGTCTCTGAAGTCGATCGCATTGTTGGCTCACATCTCTTCTTATTTTAATAGTTATTTCTTATAACGTTTTCAATATTATATATAATTTGTTAGTTGTGTTACAAATATTTATTCAGATATTACTTTATATGTATTGTATTTTATTATTGTTTATAAGTTTGAATTTTATTCATTGAATTTTATGAAATAAAAAGTTTCTTTTATTATTTTTGTGGTTCTCTCGCATCCAATATCTTAAGCACTTGTTCACACGATTTCTCTGCTAAAGTTTTATAGCTCTCAATTTCATCCCATATCTTAAAAAATATGTTAAAACATTAAAATTAGTTCAATTTAATAATAAAAATATACCTTATTTTTGTAATCTTCATCTTTAATATCGGAGAGATTTGTGATGACATTATAATAAGCGCCCAAAACTCCCACTTTAAGACAATTAACTGAAACCTATTAAACAATTATTGTCACTTGATTTATAAATTTTGTCATCAAATAAATTAACAAAACCTGTAAATCACTTCTCGACGCATAAATGATAATTTGTGCCAATTCTTTGCAAACATCCCATAGTTTGGACACAATTCTGGCTAAATTCAAAGGCACAGAAATGGCACCATTTATACCCTTTTTAATCGCTTCATCGCGTCTGCAAATCAATAATTGTTTAACATTTGTTTAACTTATATACTATTTCTGTAGATAACATACGCGACCACTTCTTCTGGTGTAGTCTTCGGTAGTTTAAGCGCCGAAACGTAATCCTCGTAAGCATTAGTGTCGGCGTCAATAGAAGCCAGCATTTCATTGATTGATGAATGAAGTGGTGGTAAAAGCCTTCTCATGGCTTCGTCGTTGTGTTGCAACACTTTCTTTCCGTACGAAAGTTTGCCAACCATTGCGGCCAAAGCGGCGCCCAATGCGCCGATATTTGCGGCCACAGAACCCCCGCCGGGCGCTGCAGTTCGCGCGGCCACTGATTCCACAAACCCTTTAACAGACTTCTTAATGAGAGCATCACTTTGAGTATCGGTCAACATATATTCAATTATGCGTTGATTGGGAACAAATGGTCCCAAAGAGTTGAGCCCTAAACGATTGATAGCTAAGTGGACCTTCTGGTCCTCCTCCAGAACAAACAGATTGTCTCGTTTAATGTAATACTCGGCCGCTTTGAGAATAGCGCTCAACGGCACTAAACCAACGATTTGAGATCCAGTGACCGGAAGTTTAAGTTGTTCAGCGTTTTTGACCACTTCTTCGTAGACCACATGAATTGGAGTAATTTCGTGATCCAATATATTGACGGTTACCTGTGCTATATTCGCCTCATCCAACCACCAGCCCATCGCTTGGGTTCCTTTCAATCGCTCCGATTTGTCATTATTTGGTCCTTTTTCTCGGATATTCAATGCTATTCTATGCGACTGTTCTTTAGTGGAGATTAGGTTAACGTTATAAGCGATGAGGAATTTACGGGCGCCGGACATCGTTGCCCCCCATCGGGGTATAAACTCATTTGGACCATAATCTGGTTTCCATTCAGGAGTAGTGATTCGTTGCGATAGTCCTTCGTATTCTCCGGCTCTTATTTGTGGGACAGTTTTTCTGTAGTCTTGTTTAGCGGCGAATCCGTACAGAAAAACCGGAACTTTAAGTTCGAGAGACAACTTTTGGGCAAATTTATGAGAACATTGGACGCAGTCATCCATATCGACGCCTCGAACCGGAATGAATGGACAGACATCGAGAGCGCCGAGTCGTGGATGTTCTCCCTTTTGTTTACTCATATCAATAAGTTTATATGCAATTCGGGCCCCATTTAACGCCCCCTCCACTACTGCATCGGGAGAGCCGACAAATGTATAGACAGTGCGATTAGTGGACTGTCCCGGGTCTACATCCAATAGAGAGACACCTTCGGTCTCCCGAATGGCATTTGCGAT